ACAAACTACCATCAGTCTTCACATCCTCCCCCACACACTGAAGGTGTGAGTTGATTCCTGTTATTTTTTTTTGCTGGAGACAGTAGTTCATGCAAGGTGCTGAAGAGCAGGGCATCATCACTTTTTAAATCAGTTAAAAACATGTCTGTGTCACTGAAATGTTCCTGAATAACAACTAACTGTTGTTATTTAGTGTATCAACTTCTGTCTCTTAGAGGACTTAATTCAGACAAAGTTTTGCTGATAAAGAGAAATGTATATATTCAGTGTTCACACTGAATGTCCTGCAATTACAGCCAATACCACCAATGAACTTGATTTTCTTGAATTACAGCCTTTGATAGTTTTTCACATAAGCTCTGGAAAGAAAACAGTGTGTACACAGACAGCAAGCCCTCCCCTCTCTCTGCACAGGTGTGTGCTGACCTGCAAGGCTGCCTTGGGACAAATATGGAATCAACAGCATGAAATATCCAATGAGATTTAGAATCCTACTTTTAATAAAACAGCTCAGCACGGTGACAACAGATCTGAGTCACAAAGCAGTGTCACAAAGCACTGCTGGTTCTCTCTCCTCTTCCTCTTGCCCCCCTGAGCAGTGGAAAGGAAGGGACAGTCATTAAAAAGACCCATTAAAGTAATTCTTCCATCTCTAAAAAGTCTTAAGCAAAAAGGTCCTTGATGATGCCCAAATACGACAGGAAAAGCTGTCTTATATCTACAGAGAAGGAAAGTGAGAATTGCTTTTCACCCCCAGCTATGTCACTGTGCCATAAAAGCAGACACTGTGGATAGGCAGGGTGGATAAATTTTCCTCAGACTGGCAGAAAGAATAAAACACTTAATCACTTTATATTCTCATGCAAAGAAGTTCATTCTAAATCCTTGATGATGAAGACTTCTTGCAAAACAATCTTTCTCAAGCTGTTAATAGTTTCATAAGATAAAAGAAAGAGTAACAGAAAAAGCGGTTTTGGGGACTTTGCAACAAAATAAACTGTTGTCAGAATAGTGGTGATTAAAACACTATAAGTAATAAAACATACATATCTGTCCTATCCACAGGGAGTCTTTTCTTCATAAGAAGAATTTAAACAAGTGATATTTTAATCTTGTCAAAAAAATAATGTGATGACTTATTCATCCTGAATCATGAAAAATTCCATTTTAAGTCAGAAAACCATTTTCCACTAACGGAAGCTCGACCAGAAAATTTTCTGCCTGCTCTGCTGATAGAGAGAAAGTCAACCAGCAATACTGGTCCCATGAGAATGGAGCTGTGAGCCTGAACATCAAGGCCTAATGGCTGTAATTACTGATGTCCTTTTCTGATGGAGGTGAGTCTGCAGTTTGGTCTCCCTGGTCCTTGAACACATAAATTAACGGCCTGTGTATTAACTAGGAGGTGACTTCTCAGCTCCTGTGCTCCAGTTTAGCCTCCAGCCTGTCCCCCTCAGTGCCCTCTGCCCCTTGGTGCTCTCTGGAAAAGGAAGCATTAACATGTCATTTATAAATATTCCCTGTATTCTTACCTAATTGATTAGACAGGAGCCTCACTTTGCATCGCCTCATGTTTCAAAACAAGAAACTTCATCATCTCACGAGCTCCCAAGAGCTATGTAAGAAATGCAGATAATTTCAGAGAAACCCAGAGAATCCTTGTTTAGGAGGAGATTTAACTAACCATGGGTTGAGCTGCGGAATGACAAATGCTCTGTGAAGTTTTGTTTCAAGAGGTGACATTCAGTTCACAGACATTTTCTTTGTAACTACTTCCTAAAATAGACATGGTTTACTTTACTCCCATTTTTTTCCCCTGTTGCTAAATGATTGGCGTTTTTCCTATACGCATTAGAAGAAAAAGAATTAAAAAGTCAGACTCAAACTTAAAAATTAATAAAGAAAAACTGTTTGTTTGGACTTGGCATTTTTTTATTTTTTTCTTATTGCGCTTTCCTCTGTTAAACTGAGAACGTTATGTGGAACAGACAAGCATTCAAATGTTTCTCCCCTTACTGCAGTATTTTAATGGATAAAGCAGGTTTGTAAGCCAGATTTTATGCTCTCAGTTTAATCATACTATTCAATCATAAACTTAGATAAATAGCTTGACTGCTACTCTTTAAAGCACACACCTAACACAGTGATTTTGCAGCCAGAATTTCTTTTACATTTTAAATTCTACTTTTATTTCATGAGGGGATCATGCTCAGCCAAATGAAACCACTCCAGAGTGAAATCATATGTAGTGGGAAAGAAAGGATCTGTGCTGGGATCATATGAAAGCTTCCAGAGACGTGGAGTCATTTCCCAATCTGCTTAAGTCAATTCCCTTGAACTGACTTCTGTAAATTTGCTTAAGTAATCTGCTTAAGTAAATTCATAAGTAAATTGTCTAAATTTATATCGTTCAAAGTTATTCCATGGAATTCATTGGAGACACAGCAGCGTAAAAGAGAACAGATTTAACCCACTGCTGCCACACTCCCACATAACTGGAATAATCTACTCATCCATTCCTTAATATTAAACTTCCCCATTAATTAAAAGCCAGAAGAGAAATTATATTTCCAAAGCCACAGGTGTCAGAGGCAAGCAAGCAGTTTTCCTATCAAATTCAGTGTATATCCCTTTTCAGCAGAGCTGCACACATTCTGCACAACTCCTTACTACACCTCTTCCCCACAGACAAATATTCCATGTATTTCTACCTACACTATAACTTTGTTTCTAAGGATTACTCAGAGAATTTAGAATCCATACATAAGATACCCAGAGGCATATTCCTCACTGGTTAATGCCCTTTTTTTAAGCAAATTCACAAAAACAGCAGAGTAGGTAACTAGATGTATTCCCATTGCCCCGATCTTATAGCTTTATTAATTCTCTTTACAAACTTGTATGCCAGGCTCTCTTTTTAAACAGCTATTCCAATGATAAATTACATTCCTTCACTGGGAAATCAATAGATATTAAATACAGCAAACCACCATTTAAATAAAATATTTTATGACATCAAAAGAGATTTTCTGATTAAACATGTTTGGTGATTTCAGAATGTTTTGGTGCTTGAAGGTTTTTAGCATTTGGAATTTTAAAAGGGAGTTTACAAATCCAGTTAGGAGATCAACAAAGTGCTTCACCATCAGGTAACACTGAAATAAGGCTCTGAAGCAAGCACATAAAATACCTCCCACCCTTACATTTAATTTTGCTTTCAAAAACACTGGGAAAATGATTATGTAGTCCAACGTGGGACCAGCTTCTAATTGAAGTCCACAGATTGCTGAGGGGAAAAAAAGAAACAATGAGACTGTGACTTTTCTAACCCTACTCGTGGAGAAAGTATCTCTTGCATCTCTTGAGCTTCAGCCAAACTTACAGGTTTGTGCAGTTAATAAGATGTAAAACCCAGCAGCAGATTGTTGCTGCAGGCAGTGAATAAGCAGGTGAAGAGTTCCCCATCTTTCAGAGGGGTGAACCTGCTGTGCCTTCCCCATCTCCTTTCAGGGCTTTGTGCCCAAGAGCAACATCTAACACAGTCATTATCCCAGCACAGCTTATTGGGCAGAATTCAAGATCATGCTCTCTGCACATTTAGAAATACTTCCTGCCTTGAAATTCTCAGAACTTTATAAATGTATTTCCATGACTGACTTTGAACAGTGCTGAGCTACTTTTTCGATGCTATTGGAATAGAATGTTTCTCCAACTTCTGCAAGGGTTTTAAAAAATAAATAATAACAAAAAAAATAAATAATAACACCAAAAAAACCCTCACAACAACAACAACAAAAACCCCCACACATACACACACACAAAAAATGCCACAAACCCAACCCAAGTCACACCCGAACAGGCAACATTTCTATCTGTATACCACGGTACAAGCCATCTTAACAGTGAAAATTAAAAACCCACGGGTTTGTTTAACAGCCTCCTAGTAAATCATCATAACTACAGCACGAGGAGGTGCCTGGATAAATAAAGCAAAGTGCAATTTGCAAAAAACTGTCAGCAAAACAACACACTTCACTCCTGTCCCTTGGGGATTTTTCATTTCCTTCCTGTAGCTTACTCCATCTTCATCAGAAGGCCAACAGCAAGAAGACAAACTGGCTCGAAAACAGTCATTGAAAGAAAAACATGATTCAGCACTTAGAAGAACATCTAAGAGATGTTTTCTAGGAAACATTTAAGAATTGAAATCTTTCCTTTGCATTTCCATTCCATGCTGTAAGTGGGTCAGAGACGCTGCATTCCTCTTGCCAGTTTGAACTCCACTCTTCTCCACTCCACTGACAAGACAAAGAGACACCTCTCCCTCCAAGAGCAAACAAACCCAGCTATTATTCCAGTTTCCTGCTGGAATGTGCTGATTTGGGGAAACTGAAACACCTTACTGAAACTCAGCAGTTTTATTCAAATTTTTCTCCAAGTTTGCTCAGATTCTCATATTTCTTGGCTCTTATTCTCAGTTTCAGAAAGCTCTGCTCTCTAGAAAGGGCAGTTCAGACTCGAGCAGGGATTTGAACCTGCTCCACTCCTACCCAGGAGATGCTCTGCCCAACATACTTCTACCTGACCTTCTCTGGGTTTATTCATTCAAAACCCCTCAGTTACCTCAGTGTGGATTAAGAGCAAAAGCAAAAAACCACGAATTAATTGTTTTTGGCCACTCTAATGAGAAAAAAAGCAATTTATCCCACTCTGTTGCAGGCAGCACAAACACACCCTTAGAGCAGCACACACAGAAAGGCCTAAAGCTGCACTTGTCACTTCACCTTCTTCAACAACACGTGCACTAATCAGCCTTTTGCAGTGATGGAAACAGGACTCACAGTGGTTGGAAAAACATCATATTGTAGCCACAAACACCACCTCAATTGCTACAAAAAAAATGTCCACAGAAATTATGAGAGAAATACAAAAAAGTCACCACGGGCACCGAAGTTCTGAACAGTTTTGTGACCTAAACTGGTAGTTTCCATTTCACTTACCAATTTGTGGGTGAGCTGGATGGTGATGAGAGGAGATCCTGACAGATTGTGGGACAACTTGGGTAGAGGTTCCACTTTGATAGAGATGAGATAACTGGTTGCTGAGATCATATAACCTTTGTAGGCAGCAGCTTCAGCAATCCTTGGGAAGAAGCAAATATATTAAAGAAGAGGAACAACTTTTTTTTAGTTCATCCACAACACCCACAACAAACATGGGATCTCCTTTTTCCATTCAAGCCAGTTAATTTCTATAGGAGAGTGAGATCCTACAGGACTAGAAGCCATAGTATAGGGAACAAAGTGTAGGGGCCAGCTTTGAACACCTGGAGAGTTGGCATCATTAAGTACCCCTTCACTCTGCTCCTCTCTTGCTTTCAGCCTTGCTCAAAGTGCTTTAGATAATTAGGGAGAATCCTATGAAAGAATCTAAAAATGCTCTCAGGAAAGCAACCTAAGTGAGGAGGAAACTTGTGAGGGGTTTCAGGCTGACTAAAGACACACATCAGTGTGTAAGACACACACATATAATGCATATAAATATATACATAGGAATATGTTTAGAAGTGATTTACAGCTTTACTTTGGAAAATTGATTATGTCCAGTTAGGTTTGTTAGAGAATAAGTCAGGTCACAATACAAACAGCTGAACTCGACTAAATATCTGATTTGTCCAGGTAATATATTTATTTTTAGTCTGAAGTAATTTTGCATTACATAAGAACCCTCTTATTTCTGCTTTCAGCTAAAACTTATGACTTTGGCATTTTTGCATATTTAGGTGTAACTGAGATCCATTTGGCTGCAGGGTAAAATTTTTTACCCTACCAGTAACAAACTGTGCAAGAGTAAAATGTTCTCTGTCATCTACCTTTGGAGCATGTGAAAGAATGGTATTGACTGTGAGAAATATGAGCCAAAGCAAATTAACCACCACCATAGGCTTGCAAACACAGTCCACCACTGGAAAGAGCTGGCTTGCAAAGCACTTTAAAAGCCACTTTATTTACATTTGCCACCTGTTTGCGATGTTTTCTTATTTTGCTTTCAGGAAACAAGAGAAAAAGTCGTGTCAGACATTCAAATAATCACCCTGAGTTCCTTGGCAGGGTCAAATGGAACAGAACTCATTTAGCACAGCCCCAAGCACCAGCCCTTCCTTCTGACCTTAAAAAACCCATCAGTATCAGAGATTACTTCTGCTCCCAGCAACCAGCATCTGAGGGTAGAATTTGCCTCCTCTGTTATGAAAAGTTTAAGTTTAGAGAAGGACTAATAATGTTCAAACCTTTATCTGACATTTTGAGATTTCTCCTGCAAGGATTAAGTGTTTTTTCCACACCCTTTATCTGGTGTTTTAATTTCAGAGAGCTTGGTGAATTTTGAAGTGTGAAAAAAATCTTCATCAAAAGCAGAAAATAGTGTTTCTGTGCATGCACAAGCCTTTCTTCACCATGGCCTTGGATGTGAGATGGCAGATTTACACAACCTGTACATGAGCAGAACTGGGCTCAAAGTATTGTTGTGTTTCAATTTTTTTTTTTTTATAAAGAATCAAAAGTTACTCCCCTTAGAAACTGCTATTTATGTAGTCTGAAAATAGAAGTCATCTGTGTGTACAGCACAAAAGCTCCAAGAGTTTTGGGTTTGGTTTTCCACCACAAAAGAAAAAAAATGCCCCTTAGAAGAAAATGGACAGGGTTCAAATTACAGGTGTTCAAGTAGCCCAGTGCTAGAGGGAACATTTAAAAAAGTCTTTAAAACAAACTACTCTGTGAAAAAGTTGTTATTCTACTGAAGAGTAAGCAAAAAAAGTTATAATAGCAGAGCACAAAAAAGAAAAGCCAGCAGAAGTGCATACTTATTTTTAAAGCATTTTTTCAATACCTGGGGTTTGATTCCAGAGAGGAAAAATCACTAAGCTAGAATTCCCTGCATTATTATCACCTTTTTAGATGCTGTTTTGGACAGACCTGCACCTACAATTTTATAGACGTGATTTTGCAGTGCATTACACACTGCAAGCAGCTCAAGTACTTTGAATTAATTATAGAAATCTAGAAAACATTTCTTCTCCCATGTCTTTGTGCTTCTATTTAACATTGTGACAGGGCCAGATCCCTCCTTCTCTAAAAGAGTGCTAAAACCACACACAACTCAGGAGACCAGGAATGTTGTCCTATTCCACAAACTTCAGAGAATGTCCACAAATATGACACAACTGTTTTATTTTGCTATGTCAGAGCCCCAGGATATATGACAATATACTACAATACAGTGCTTTGCCATGCAGCATCTTTAATCCTATTGTGTTTGCTAAACTTTGACCTATGTCAGGACCATACTCAGTCTCTTTGTCCCTTTGAAAAATTGAGATTATTATTATCTTATTAGCTGATTATCTTAATAAATTGCATTGATCCTCCTGTCTGAAAAACAAAAGCCCTCATAAATTATTGCCTCTATTTCTTCATGTCAGCATGAAATATTGCACATTAATGACATGGTTCCCTGGCAGCCACCTGCTGAGTGTCCTTTTCTTTGAGAGAGCAGGGCAACCAACAGCACAGCTTGCTATGGATTTAGAAATGCTATTTAGTAGTAGTTGTGTGATTATCTCAGGGTGATCAACATGGATTGTGATCCAATCTGGATCAATCAAGCCAAGATTCACAAAAGAGTTCCTGTGACCATAAACTCCCTTGTCAAGAAAGGAAGGCAATCCCTGACATTGAGGAGAGCTGAAGTGCTGCATCTTGGCTGCTGTCAGAAACAACACAGAAAAAAATCACAGACTGGAAAGACTGAAAGTGTAAACTGCTCTCTGTACCCCGGGGAAAACCAAAGGGAAACACAAAGTCATCCACTTGCCTGAAAGGAAAGTGTAATGATTTACATGAATGGCCTTGCAAAATCCCCTGGGGAACTGTATTGCAGGGAGCTCTACAGCTCTGCATTTACTTTATCTTATCTGCTAATGATTTCCCTGATGGAGTACATAAAACAAAGGGTCTTTAAAGCATTGCCTGGTCTCCTGTTGTAAAATTACCTTGTGGGTTTCTAGGATCAGGATTCAGATTTTGTTTTCTTATTTGTTTCATTTAAGTGCAAGCTTTATCTTGATAGTGTCAGGAGAGAAGACGTAATTTTCTTTTATGAGGCAGATTAAAATTATGATTTTTCTAGTGTCAGATCAGATGAATGGAAGGAGAAGACAAAGAAAGACAAACACGTCGCCACGGGAATCTACTTTATTGCAACGTAAAATAAAACATCTAATGTAAACTTTAATCTTTGTCTAGTTAATGACTACATGTCCTCAACATTGCAGAATCAGGATTATGGCTTGTAATTTATTTACAGCTGATAACAACACGACTGTTATAAAGGTATATCACTAAGGTAATAAACAAGCTGTTAAAACATGAGAGCTCTGAGATACTTACTTGGTATCCATAGGGTTGATATTGTGAAAGAAATAATGCATGTCATGGTAAAGGAGGCCGACAATGGTAATCCAAGCTGTGGAAAGGGAACAGGAGTTATTTCTCAGAGCAACAGTTCTAAGCAAGGGACATTTCTCTCCTAGGCTTGAAGCTCCATGTTAATTAAGAGCCTTGATTTATGTTCACCTTCATATTGTTCTTTTAAGTAAGTGGAAAATCCTGGACACATTGTGCAGCACGAGAGATGGATATCAAAAGTAAAATAGGAGGAAGCCTGCCCTGCACAATCAAACTTCCAAAATAAGCTGCTGAAGTAATCAATTGTCACTTATAAATCCCCCACACAGCACCAGAAAGGGTCTCAGGACACACCAGAGTCGGTGTCTCTGTAACCTCAAGGCCACTTCACCACCACCTACACGAACTGGCAGCTTGTGAAACTCAAACACAGGCAAACAGTTCCCATGCTGGTTTTCTGTTTGCTGCCCACATTCCAGTATTTTTGGGCTCTCCAGCATCTGAGCGAAGAGACAGATGTGTATTTTCTAAGAGTGAACCACGCGAATGTCTTTTACTACCCCTTTTGCTGGGTTCCAAGTATTTATAGTGTGAACTGTTTAAGGTGATTTTTTTAGCTTAGCTCATCTGGGCAGTGTAGAAGTGTGGCCTGAGGGCTGAAATTTCTCAGAAGTGAGCTTTAGGTGGAAAAAGAATAAAATATTTAATGCACTGGATAATTTTGGGATACGAAGCATGACAACGTTCTGAAGAAAAAAAAAACTCTGCTTGGTGAGAAATTTTATAAGTGGGAAAGGAAAAAAGTCCTCTCACATGCTGGTTTTGGCCTTACAAGCTGGTTTACAATTATAGTTGTTCAAACCTCAGAGCACTTGCAGTGTCCAGCCAGAGCACCTGCCAGTGCAAAGCAACAAAGCTGTCATCACAAATCAGGCAGACAGTTCAGTAATTATTAGAGAATTTCTCTCTGCAGGTTATTTTCAGCTAACTTTGCACTTTGTGAAAAGGGACTGACCATCCTTTGACAGAGGTGACTGCAGAAAGGTCTGTGGGTGAGCAAATTTTGTGTGTTGGAATTTAGGGCACATAAGTCAGACTTTTCAAAGATTTGAGGATGGGGGTAGATACTTTACTCAATCCCAGAGTAAAACATAGATAATTAACTTCAAATAGTTATTTTAGAGTCTTGAATAAAGCTGCAGTTTTTTGCCATACCTTGCTTTTGAGATTATTAAAATGTTGGCTTAGGTATGGATTTCTGAGTGCTGCCTTTTTGCCATGACTGCAGCCTATATCTTCATTTCATTTCTGTAGCTGCTATTGCTTAAACCTGTCATTTTATCATTTAATTTTACACAAAAGAGCAATTTTGCATGAAGGGATAAGCAATACCTAATCTGACAACCTGGAATTTCTTAAAAATAACCAGTTCAGATGATTAAAACAAATTTACAAGATTAAGGTTTCTCTAATATAAAAATGTGTCAAAATTAAATGGCTTCAGTCTCTGTGGCCCAGCTCTATTATTCAACATTAATTCAAGTAATATGAAAACTCTACCATTGGTATGACAGGACAACTGCTGCTTCCTCAGAGGGATCAAATCAGTTACTTGGAAAAATAAAGTGAACCAAAACTTGTTTTCAAGCAAAACCAATTTTGGATACCCTGTGTACATGACTCCACTCCTCCCTTTAATCTTTTCCTTACCTTTTTCATGGAAAGCTTCACTGGGAATGGAAATATAACTCTGCCCCCGAGATGGAAATCGATAGTGGGACAAATTCAGAGTCTGAGGATGCATTTTGAGCACAGTGTAATCTGTGTGATAACCCAAACAAAAATATCATAAAATCAATAGCCTCTACAACCTACTTGACTGTTTAACTAGACTTCCCTAATAGCTGTTGCAAGTCTTGAATTTAAAACCCCATATGTTTGCAGAAAATATAGTAAATTCCCCAAGTATAAAATTGCCTTTTATATCTGACTCCTTTATGACAGAAAAGGTGCTACGTGCACTGTTATTATACCATGGATCACTTCACCCAGCCTCAAACACTGAGCTTACCAGGGCAAGCAAAACAGATTAATAGCTCTCTTCCACTGACATTTGAAGGCATTATTTCAGTCCTCCATTTGAGAATCCCAGTGTCCAGGAGAGCACATGCAGTGATTAATGCTGCTGGGGACTGCTCAGGTTATTTACCCCTGAAGGCACAGCAGAATGCCAGAAGAAATAAATTACCTTTGATACCTGTAGCACCCAAAGATGCAGATGAAGTGAGAGTGCTAGGACGTTAAAGAGCAGTAAAATAAAATTCTGCAAAAAGGTCAAAACTATTCCTATTATTTTCAACCTCTTGCAAAAATTAAGGTTTTGTAGCACCCAGACATCTGTGACTTCGAAGTGCTGCATAAGAGCTCTAGGCCCTTTAACTCTGTTAGCATAGTATTACCAGATTCTCCACATATAATTCATATTCTGAGTTCCTCCCCACATAACCTCGAGGGAGTTCAAGCACAGTCAGAGCCGATTACCTCTGGACTAACTGCACACTCATCTTTCTACAACCGAAGCTCTGGTTTGCATTCAAAAGAGAAAATCACCCAATTTGATTCCCTCCCCCGTTTTGGCAGAGGAGGGGCTGCAAGCATGGAAGCATTTGGGACACCCAGACAGCCCAGATGGAACATCCCTGCTAAATCCCAGCAGAGGGAATGTCCCTGCTCAATCCTGCCAGAGGGAATGTCCCTGCTCAATCCCACCAGAGGGAATGTCCCTGTTCTGTCCCACCAGAGGGAATGTCCCTGTTCAGTCCCACCAGAGGGAATGTCCCTGTTCAGTCCCACCAGAGGGAATGTCCCTGCTCAAACCCACCTGCCACAGGGGACGTGCCCTCGATAGTGGAGGGAGAGGAGCCCTCGTCCAGGTTGCGCGTCACGTGAGACATGACGGTGTCCACGGTCTGGATCAAACTGCCAAACACGTGAGCTGTCTGAGGGGGGAAGGAAGAGAAGGTTCTGCAGCAAAGGAACTGTCATTCACAGCACAAAACCACGCCAGGTTAAATCCCTGCCTGACTCATCATTCAACTGCCCCGAGCCAAACGTGGCCTTTTCCACGTCTAGTGGGTAAAATGTTACACAAACTGATGCCACCCAGAGCCCAACTATATAAAATACTATGTTTTATGGAATGTCTCCAAATGACTCTTGCTCCCACCAGCATTTGACAGTCAATTATACTGAGGATTCAGCAGAATGAGGCCAAGAACTGTGAAGAATTTTTTTGACAATACTTAAAGATCAGTTTCAGATCTGTGTTGGAACACAAGATGAGAAACTACAGTTTTATCTTATTAAAATGCTCCTTTAAAGTATAAAGCTACTTTAACCCTGCAGGTTGAAACCTGATCCATAAAATCTCAGAGTTAATGCATGTTTCAGTTTTATCTGAAATCCATTTACATCAGAGATGATCAAGGATTTCAGGCTAAGAACTTAAATCAATTAGACATCTTTTTGTCTTAAAAGCATTTTAGACTTCAATGAGACCTTGATTTGCTTTAGCCTCTCCTTCTCTCAGTTTAAAAGTTCTCTGTTCTGCAATCTGTGCTTTCTTAGGACTCAGGCAAAAATCTCAGGAAACTCCTGGATTCACCCTGCGGGTATTCCTTGGCACAATAATAGGTAGACTAGAAAAGAAAGAACATTGATACAGGTCATTTTTCCCCATATCAGGTCTAATCTCTCTCAAAGCTTCAGATCACAAAACAGGTAAGCACCACCACATATTTCATGTGCATTGAAAAGCATCAATCTACCAAAAAATATAAACCTTCAAATATCAGAGGTCAGTGCTAAAAAAGGAGTGGTTAAAAACTTACTTTAGTGACAATGTTTATTATTTTATAAGTACAGTTTTGTTTCATTCATCCTGAAATATGTGGAAACAGCAGCAGATAAAGTTCCTTTATTTTAACCCTCAAGAACATATTATAAAAGAGAATTAGATAATTTTTTCCCCGTGTATCTTTACTGCAAATATGGAAGTGACAGATAAGAAAATAAGTAAGTCACAGTGCCAAAAAAGCCCTAACAAGCATAATAATAGGGACCACCAGTTCCATTACCATCCATATGAATTTATGCAACCAAAGCAAGCTACAAATCTGAACCCATTTGTCTTACCTGTGGTCCATCAATCAGGTTGGGCAATAACATAAAGTCTTCAATAGCTTTTAAAAATGCCTAAAAGATAAATAAAACTCCATTATTTGATTATTTATTAATCAGTTACATCTCCTGGCAAAGGATCCAAGGCAGGTCTCTGCTAGGATTTGTCTGAGGTTTATGCCAACATGACAAGCCCACTGCCATTCAAGTCACAGATCCATCTCTACCTGCCAGCACTCTCACCATGTTCTGCATGGTGACATTTTAAGGTAATAATTTATTTATTAAAAGCAACACCACTGTGTAACTCCCAGAGTGCAGTGATTATCCCACAGCTGAGCTGACACTCAGTGAACTTGTTGGGAACTGAACACTAAAGTGAACTTATTCTCCCATTTTGTCTGAACTCATATGACATCAATAGAATCATGGAATGGTTTGGGTTGGGAGGGACATTAAAAATCATCTTGTTCCAGCCCTGCTTCCATGGGAAAGTTTCCACTATCCCAGGTTGCTCCAAGCCCTGTCCAACCTGGCCTTGGACACTTCTGGGGATGGAGCATCCACAGTTCCTCTGGGCAATCTGTGCCAGGGCCTCACTACCCTCCCAGGGAAGAATTTCTTCCTAATATCCAATCTAAACCTACCCTCCTTCAGTTTGAGGCCATTCCCCCTTGTCCTGACACTACAGTTCCTGATAAAATGTCCCTCTCCATCTTTCTTGTAGGCCTCTTTTGGTCTTAAATGACTACATTTTTCCACAGCACTAGATAGATTTCCCCTCACTTAGTACAATTTATTAGCTGCTTAACTTTTGCACTTCAAGTTTGGGTTTAGGGTCAAGAGCTGTCACAGTGGGCACCAATCGAGTGCTCAGCACAATATAGTCACAGTCCTAAGGAGCCTTGCCAAGGACAAAAGGAAACACAGAAAATGGCACTGAAAATTAAAAGAGAAAACCCCACAATTCCTGTTTAAACTTATCTATTAAAATGTCTTTATAGAACAACTGAATATAGAAGAAGTTCCACCGTGAAGTGTGGAAGACATGACACAGCAAAACACAAACCAGATCTGTCAGAAGCCATTCATTATAAATGCGTGTCAGGAATCAGAAAGTTTATTGTGTATCACTTAAATCAAATTTCCTTGTGCTGTGAGGCGTACAACAATCAGGACAGAGATAACTCCACAGAAAATCACATGCATGCTCAGTGCCTGCCTTTCAGGGAATTAGCTGCAGACAATACAAAGCCCAGCCATCAATCAGACAAATGACAGAGTCGGGATGTATGATCAGGACTCTCTTGTGTTTATTTCCCAAAATAGCTTTGCTAAAGATAATCACGTCCCACATTTTTGTCTGCAAATCACTTTCATGGCAGACAAAGCAGCATCAGACAGCATGAATGAGCAACCAAAGAGCAACTAGAATGATGTGGGAAACAGGTAGTGGTGTCTGGCGGGGCCATGTTCCATTTGCGGTTTAAAGCCCACACAAATTTTTCAGTAAAACAAAGGAAACGATGTATTAGAGTTTTTTAGAAGGGGTTTTGCTACATATTAAACTGTGATCCGTGAAATCCGAGCTTTGCAGTTTGCAAACGCCAAGCTTTTAACCCGACCTATCAATTGCTGTCCTGTGTCGTTTGCAGAGGCATTTATTTATTTTGTTTGTCTGAGTAAAGCATCCTCCTCACCCTGGTACTACCCGCGGGCTTAAAGGAACAATCACTAGCGGGGCCAGAGCTGATTACTGTAACAATAGCTTTCTAGCCTGCTGAAATCAGGGAATTAGATGCCCATCATTTTACAGCAGGCTAACTTTATGTTAGCAGAACGTGACCCCATAGTCTCAGCTCAGACTGCAGAAAATGCCACCTTCTTTTTTTCTCTCTGTAGATTAGCTTAAGTTACTTAGGTTGGGAAAGATCTTTAAGATCACTCAGTCCAACCAGTAACTCAGCACTGACAAGCCCATCACAAAACCATGTCCCCAAGTGCCACATCTACACACCTTTTAAACACCTCCAGGGATGGTGACACTCCCACTTCCCTGGACAGCCTGTTTCAGGGCTTGACAACCCTTTCAGTGAAGAAATGTTCCCTAATATCCAATCTGAACCTCTCTGGTGCGACTCAAGGCCGTTTCCTCTTGTCCTATTGCTTGTTATTTGGAGAAGAGATAACTCCCACCTGGCTACAACCTCCTGTCAGGGAGCTGTAGAGAGCAATAAGGTCTTCCCCGAGCCTTCTTTTCTCCAGGCTGAGCCCCCTCAGCTGCTCCTCACCAGATCTGTGCTCCAGACCCTTCCCCAGCTCTGGGGACATCCTCCAACACCAAAATGTCTCACAGTGAGAGATCCAAAGGCACTAAATAATATCTTCAAGAACCAATGAGATCTCTAAACCATCCTCTCTGGTTGAAGCTCACTTTCTGCTACCCCCCTCCCCCAAAGCAGCTACTGCTTTTTTCACACCTATTTTCTCCAACAAGCAAAAACTTTAAAAACCGTGTTTGATATTTCCAGGTTCTGGAGAAACTTCAGTGCCACCTGGCGTGAGAGACACTTACCTCTGTGAGGCTCAGAGCAGTGTTTTGTGACAGGGACTCGTTGGGCAAGCTGAAGGACACGTTCTCCAGGTACCCCAGCGTGGAGTCGGGGGAGTGGAAATTCTCTCTCTCCTGGGTGAGGTTGGTGATGATGGGTCGATAGGCGTTGGTGGAGAGCTACAGCAGAGGCACAACTCAGCACAGGTTATCCCATATGGACAGCAGGATTTATGGGTTTAGCCCAAAAAGGGAGCTCAAGGCACAGCAGGCTGCTGTGGTCACACACAGGAGGCTACAGGAGCCAAGGGAAAAGGAAAGCACACAGATAGATAAGATGGATAGATGGATAGATGATAGATAGATGATAGATGGATAGATAGATAGACAGATGACAGAATAACCAGAATATTCAAAGATTTATTTTTTCATTAGCCACTGCTATCTGCCAGGGTTTCCTGAAAGCATCAGTGAACAAGAACTAACAGAACTCTGATACTGCAGAAAGCAAGAACATGACAATATACTGCAACAGCTAATTGCACATGGGCTGATTACAGCTAATTGATTACAGCTAATTGTATCTATTCTCCATATGAAAAATTTTCATCTTTTTCATTGCACCTTCACTAAACAAATGAAAACCAGTTTTGTTATTGCGGCGGGTTTTTTTTCTAATTTTAAAAGAAACAAAAGGAACAATTATCAAAATGATTTTTCATGTCCTACATCTTCAAAGTTAAATGTAATACTTCAGAAGTTGCTACTTTTTTCCCTTTTTTTAATATAAAAAATATTTTATTTAACAGTTAATTTCTTTCATCTGTCTTCCTTTAGGAGTTGTGTAGTACTTCCATCTTTCCATAGTGGCTAAAAATTCTCCCTATGCATATCCAAAAGTATATATAATTGGGGTACTAAGTGCCATTAATGCAAATTATGAAGTGAGACATGTCTGTATGCAATATATGCACGTTCTGACATCACAGAAAAGAGTTAGGAGGACTGTCCTACCACAGGTTTTGTAGTGGTTGTCATCAGAGACCATGGAATTGTGGAAGAAAGCAAAACTTGCACCCCTGGAAAAATACAAACACAAATGAGAGCATTAACAAATCTGACATTTAAATATCATATACATATTTATATATATATATATTTTCCCTCTGCAAGCTGAATCAGTTCTACCTGGAAGCAACAGATTTGCTGTTCTGTAGATTTTACTTATTTTCATTACTGCAGCTACACATGCTTGTTTAAGACACTTAATTTTCCGATTCTCTCATCAATTTTATTTCCTCACCTTTGTGTGGATGAGCACTGCAGCAGTCTAAATCTTAAATACTCAAATCTTTGTTTGCAAACAGGAATTTCAAGTGCTATAATTTAATTTCAAAGAGGGCAAGTGTACAGTTGAAACATTGGAATCCACCTTTGTCCAACAGCTCTTCCCCCCAACAGACTCGGAGGCCCCCACTCTCTCTGCAGGGTTTCAAAAGGGAGCTACAAACATCAGTGTCCACCAACCAGATGTTTTGAGCCCCAATAAGACTCTTTCCAAACCAAAGTAGAGAGGGGAGGAGTAAAAACTTAAGCCCTGAGCAGGATTTGCTTTTGTGGGAAGGGCTTTCCACGGTGCCTTGGTTATTTATTGGAGCGAAGATGGGAAAATGGGGGAGCCGAGGGTGGTTGCTGCGAGTTCACAAGGATTCAAGGGGTTAAAGAAAAAGAGTTCCCTTTGTATTTACAGAAGCCATAGTTCTGTGACAGTGAGACAGGGCACACATATAGATGAACCAGGGCAATTCGAAAATCTGCCGCTCTTGAGTTCAGCACCGGAACATTCTTCTTGAGTTACATTAATCAAAGAGTCTGATTTATGGTAGCTTTGAGTTGGATGGTGTTATAGTAACCCTCAATTGTTGTGAAAGATACAGCAGCCAAATACAAAAGCATTTTTTCCAACATGACTAGAGCATTATAAATTTTTTTTTAAAGTTTTTAAAGCTATTTCCTGTATCAAATGACTACCAAATGAATAGTCTCACAATCAGAAGTTCTGAAGACTTTCAGAGGAATCACTTTTTAAAATAAAAAGGCTTTAATATAAAATACTTGAGTGAAGTTCCTACTATTTGTGTGGCAAATCAAATAGATTGCTTCATTATATACCAGGTGGAAGGTTTTGTTTTTCAGTGATGTCAATTCCGCATAAACTACTTTATACTTTATTTTTTATAAAACACATTTTGTATATATTTGATTGGCATAATCAAACTTTGAAGTCACAAACAAGCACATTCTCATTTCCAGGAACGCATCAGAAGTTCTGTGTTATGAAAATGGTTCCCGTGGGTTTAAAAGCACATGAGTTATGGGTGTAACTGCTTTAGCTCTCAGAAACCTGGTAAGAATAAATGAAGGCAGGGAAACTTCCAGCAAAGCCAAATGTTCCAGGTGCCCCATAGCTTTATTCCTAAAATGGATGCTTTCTAATTGCTGCTCACACTTAATAGCAACAGTCCTTCTTGCAGTGAAAGGTTTATTATAAGGATCCATAGAACCACTGACAGGATTTACTGGCCAGACTTTGTTCTAATCCTGATTCTTTGCCTTTTCTATTACATTTCAGCTGATCTCTTTTTCTATTACATTTCAGTTGATCTCTTTTCTTTTAGTTCCCAAGCAGTTAATGTCTCTTTATCACCAGGTGAAGGAACCCAAGATGAAAAGGTTGCACATCCAAAGGCAGCCAAGTGTCCCGGCGACATTCAGAGCTGAAATTTTGCGCCTCTAAAAGTTGTGCTGAGTAGCTGAGAGATGTAAAACAAATGCAAACCCTGCACACTGAGCATTTATAAGTCAGCAGCTTTAGAGATGATGAACTCTAGCCATGCAGACACTCACCAACAGCAGCTGTGAAGTACTGCTCGACCTCCCGGGGGGTCAGTGCCCTTTCCCAGATGATGAATTCATCGAAGGCCCCGTTCACGTAGCGCTTGCTCTGCTCCCCCTCTGTCCCTGTCAGGAGATTGGCACTGGGGTCTCCATAATCATAGAACACTTTCCCATCTGGGTCAGTTGTGTTCAGAGTTCCATTGACATAGACTTTCAGCCCTTCTCTTGATTTCCAGGTAAAGAGAATGTGAGTCCAATAAGGACCTGCAGGACAATAAAAGTCACAGCAAAAGCCATGAATCAATCCCATTTGGAGCCTTTCCTGTTCAGGGTGGTTTTGCTGACTCTTGCAATGGTGTGGAGCTGCATAGGAAGTGCTAAGAGTGACTTATGGAATGCTGATGCTGTGTATATTAATCTTTATACCCATGGGGAAGCCCATGCTTTGGCAGAATGCCTGCTAGCTTTTGTCTGAACTTGGGCTCACTGCAGCTCCATAAATTACAGTTGTTGAGTATTATTGGCCAAGATTTGAGGTCTCTTCAATACTGTCTCAAAACTCAGCTCAGCAAAAACAGCATAAAGGCTGCAAGAACTGGAGAACAAGCAAACAGACTAATTAAAAGCTGTCACTGTTGCTTTGTTATGCTTGAGAGTTAGAAAACATAATATTAATTTCTACTTGGATTGGATAAACCACAAAAGTGCGAGTTATTCTTACGATTTTGCAGCTTTTCTCTTAAAATAAGATTTCTAAACTGATCCATTAAACTGTGCAAAACTCTGCTACTATGAGGTTAGAAAGTCCTATTTTAACAATGCACAGGTAGTCAAATTAATGTCAGTAGCATGATCAGAAGACCAGAATTTGTTCCAGTCATTAGGTATTACAATACACAGTTTAGATAGAAGCAGTAAGATATGTGATATAGCAGAATGTTTATTAATACTATGGCATGGCATAGAAAACTTGACACTCAACAGATAACAAAATTATGAAAGCACTAAACACCCAGTTAGATAGTTACCAAATAAAGTCTTAATTTAGGAGGCAGCAGAGACAGCCCACCAGTTTTGGAATATACTGAGAACTGTCAGGGATTAACCAGCATTCTTTGCTCATGTTTCCATCTAAACATGCATTAATCTATTGATGTCAATAGTTCAGAAACAACTGGAAGCTGGATCCAAGGCCTGTTACCGAATGGCAAATGTTCTACAATAAAATAGCACTTTTTCAGTTTGTACTTTATCTCTCTCTCCCCTCATCAAGAGAATTCTCAAGCACAGAGATCTGTAGCTATTTTTATATATCTACTTCTCTTTCCTGATGTTGTGCTCTTACCACTACCTCTATCTGCAAGCATAGAGCAAAAAGTAACAAAGAAATTACGTTTTGGTTTTTTTTAAATTATAAATTCTACCTGGTGGGCTAAAGCTTGCTTTCCACTTCATCATTGCATTCCCACGGGTGTAAAATTCCACTGAGCCTTCACCTTCGTTTGAACAGATTTTGAAACCACTGGAAATTACCCGTCCACCAGAGGCAGGGAGAAACTTGGCCTGTTGGTCTTGAGTCTTCCAGAAAAAGGAAAATGTTACTCCTGATAAAAGCAAGTGAGAGGAGACTTTAATAAAATAAAAAAAAAAAAAAAAAAAAAAAGAGTGCAATTAAAATTTTCCAATATGTAGAATACAGCCAGTGGGAATGCTTTTGAGGCCAGATCATCTGCTAGCATAAACAAGGACAGGGTTTTTAAAATCAACAATGCTCTAACAGTTTAAGCCAAATAAACATCTCTCCCTGTTTTGCTTCACATGTGCACACACAGGACACAGCAAGAATCAGTGTCCTGAGCAGCTTCTGTCAGTTAAAGCCAAAGGTTTTTGATCACAAGTCTCTTTCTCCCAGATTTATGCTTCCTTTCCCTTTGCCTTGTCTCTCCATTCCTTTTACCCCTCCTGTGATGATCCCCTTTTCCTCCTGTGATCTTCACTTATTCCAGAACACCCATTGCTCCCATATCCCCATATCCTCCACCATATCCAACACCTACATTTTTTTTGGTGTTCACCCAACACCATCACAGCCAGAATCAGTGCATTGACCATTCCCAAGCTACTGATGCACTGCCTGGCTGCCCTCACTTATTGAGTAGCACTCATTGCTAACCACACTTTAATTCTTTAAGCATGCTGTTACATGTGTTTTCACACTTCAGTGCTCCAATAACTCCTGAAAGCAAAGAACCAGTGTAGAAGAACAGAATAGTTACACATGCAGAGCCACAGAAAAAATTCTGATGCCCCCACCTACACAAAAACAAAATAATTCTGCTCAAATGCAAGTGCAGTCCTGCAAGTCTACTGTGAATAGCTTTGTCCACAAATAATGCTGTTTGATCCACAGTAAATTTTACTACTGAACTGTAAAATGGAGGAGCTCTTCAGATTATACCTTAGGAAATATGATTTCCATAAGATAGTGGTTTCTTTATTAAAGGTCACCTCAAAAGGCTTAACTGAAACACAGGCAGCAAAACAGATCTCCCTCACACTGCAAAAGTTCTCCTGGCTCTACTGGAGAGGTTCTGCAGTCAAATACAAAGAAAATGGTTTGACTAAACAGCTCCTAAAAATGTTCACCTCAGAATTCACAGTGCAAAGTGCTAACAGTAAAATTTGAGTTCAGAGCAGGTTGAGGAAAAGTTTCTAAGTAGGGAAGTGGAAGAGGTTTTGCCTCCAGGGATCACAGTGAATTAACAAGGCAATGACCCTGAAGATCACCTTATCTAAACTGCCTGCTCAAGGTAGATCTTGTTGCTCAGAGCTCAGCTGGGATTTTAACATCACCCTGGATGCCTCTCTCTGTGTAAACCACCCCAATGCTTGGCCACCCACATCGGGGAGAATTTTTTTTCCTTAGATCTAATCAGCATTTCCTGGGCTAAGATGTGCCTGGGTTGCCTGGCACATTTTCACTGTGCATCTCCAAGATTTTTTGGCTCCATCTGCTTCTATAACCACTCATCAGGTAGGAGGCAGCCCTTAGAATCCACATTTCCTCACGGTGTAAGGAAAAGCTTCAGCCTCCCCTCTCATGTCCTACCAGACTCATCTGCCAGACTCACTCTGGCTTGTCAGCACCTCCTTTGTATCAGGGGACAGAAATGGGACATAGCACTTCAGAAGAGTGCTGAACAGAGGGGAATAATGGAATAATCACTTCACTTAACCTGCTGACTATGCTCTTTTTTACGTTTAGTCAAACTACCTATCTGGATGATTTTATAGTTAGCAGTTCTGAGGCCCTCCAAGCAGTATGAACTTTGCCAATTTGCTACCAGATAGCCCAGGACAAGTTAATGAAGCTCTCAAACTACTATGTACATTTCTTGTTAAATCCATAGATTTTTACATGTTTCATAGTTTTATGATCAAAGACAGAAAAGCCTCAGACAGTTCACGATAGTCATCAGAAATGCTATATATGGTGCATAATTTTTTTTTGTTTCACATAACCTTTTTAATAAAATTAACTTAGCAGAAAAGCTAAAAATTGTTACAGAATAAATAATTTAACTAAGTCCTATCTTCCTGTCTAACTGATCTTTGTGTCCATCCTCATGGACAGCAACTGTCAGTTTGCACGGTCTGCATCCCATTCCCTTTATGCTTTATACATGATAAAATAATCACCATGGAAATGACCAACAGACATCACTGGCCTCCTAGAAATCAATCAGTGAATGAACATCATCAGCCTCACTTTGCCTGATCTTGATGGGTGTGGGTTTAAAGCTGTAAAAATGCCGTGGACTCCCCGCTGAAGGATTTGAGGTGTCTTGCAATCAAGCTGCAATATCTTCATCAGCAGGTAAATCTGAGTTCATGTTTCAGCTTCTTTACCACACCAGGAGCAGGCTGAAACACTGCCCCAACTCTTGTTCCAGAAAGCCATGGGTGTCCCTTGCACAGCACCCTCCACCCCCCTGGTGACACCAAGCCTGACCACGTTCAGCTACTCCTGCGGTTCATGTGATCCCTCTATCAAAGCCTCTCACAACCTTTTTCCACTTCTGAAATGTAGGGAATTGCTGTTATTCCTTCTTTACAGGCTGGGAGATGCAGTTTAAGTTATGTAGACAGTGAGACTTAATTTTGCAGCCTGTCTGCAGTGGAGCTGGTTTGTCCCATCTTTGACTGTCTGTCCTACTGGAACGTCCTGTAGGAACTGACCAACCTGTGGCCACGGGAAAAATGCATCTAAATCCTCATTATACCTTGGATCAGGATATGCCAAAACTAAAAGTAAAAATTAAAGTCAGGCACACAACAAACACCCAACTTTATGAAATGTTATGTTGCACAGAGCTTTTTTAAATCTTTTTTGAATTTCAACTTCACATAAATTGGCTAAATCCGGCTTCTCCTAATGTGCTCAAACCAATGATCATGAGAACATTCTCTTGCATCTTCCACAAATGTTTCTTTTGACTGAAAATACCACTCCAACGAGCCCAAAACTGCTCACAGAAAAACCATTGTTTGAGAACTACTTGAGAAAGAGCGAGGCGGGGGAAGAGCGTTTCGACGTTTCAAAAGCGAGAAGAATTTGTTTTCTCAAGTAAAAAATAACAGTCCTGAGATGTTATGAAATTATTAGCCTAGGAAAAAATAGTGGGATTTTTGTTTCATAGGCCAGAGTATTTCATCTGGAAAGATCCCAAGACCATTTTGTTCCCCTGGTTGAATGTACTCAACACCAGTTTCACCCAAACACAACCAACGAGTCAAGGGATGTTTTAGCAACAACAGGCTGGAATAAAATTACCTTTCATCATAAAATTACACCTTACCCTTGCCACAGGTGTATTTGATTAGAAAAGACACTCCCTTTAGACAAAAGAGTGTTGGTTTTTCCCCTTTTTTTTTATTAATACCTGCTACAATGATTTATTATTTATGGTTTGTATGAGTTCTTCACATTTTACCTACTGGACATTTCAGTGTTTTATGCTTTTAATGTCCTTATTTGTGAGATACTAGGAGTGCTCTGGTATTATAAAAATAATTAGGTTATACTGTAGACATTGAAACAATATGACTTCCTGATGATTTTTATTTCCCAGTGGTATGAAAATAAAGTATGAAAAGATACAGCATATATCAGAAAATACACCTACAGTTGGATACTGAATTACTTTTTCTAATACTCTCATGTAACAGCCATGTAGCATCTGCTCTCTGTCTCCTACTTTCATAAAAAGTTCATACACAGCTCTTGTTTTATCAGCTCAAAAGTAATCCTATTTCAAGCAACGTCACCTGTTTGAAGAACAGCCTAAATCAATAAAAGCAAAAAAATTCAATATTAACAATGTTTCTTAAGTTTAGGGACTGCTGGAGTTTATAGAAAGCCTCATTTTCTATTGAGCCTTCCATTTGCACAGACTTTTAAACCCCTGGTGAATGATTGATGTCAGTGAGAAGGTGAGTGTTTGGTTTGACAGTCAGACACAGTTTGAGCCATTTTCTGTAACCAACACGTTGTCAAACCTGTGCCCTTCCCATTCCACCTGTCATCTGGTGCCCTAACCCAAGAAAAAGGGAACAGAAACAGAACGAAGAGATTTAAGTGTCTGTGAGGACAAATGGATTCCATAACACCAGAGACCTGCAAATGTTGTTATCTCTGGAGATAAATGTGAAAAACCCAAACCCATTCCTGCTGAGAGGCCACACTGAATCTGTCTCCTAAATTTGAAGTCCGTGTTACAACTTCTTTGCTTGTCAAACTGCTGATCTTGTAGGAATTAATTAATTGTTGCCACTGGTAAGATTTTGGACACTGTAAGTTTATTTCTGGCTTTGTTTGAATTAATTACACTGTAAAACATTGCTCTGAGTAGTTGGTGACCAGTTCTAATTTAAACTGCAGTTAGAAAAGACTAAATTTTCAGCAATCAACACTCAATTGTTTTAGAAGTCAAAAAAGAGTCAAATCAGATTTTTAGATTTCATTCCAACGAGGAAAGAAACAATGAGTATTGAATTACATAATTTGACAGCAAAAGAAATGTAAAAAATAATTAATAAATTTTCTCACCTTCAGGTCCACAAACTTCTGGGTTACTAATGCAAGAATTTTGGTAGCTTCCAAAGAAGAGAAAGGTAACTCCTTTCTTTTCAGTGACGTAAATTCCTTTGTTCACCATTCCTTCTACAATATCTAAAGGAAAAGCAAAATATAGTTTAGCATTTACATCAAAACTTCAAGAGGCTCTTACACCTCAGATGTTTATCTTGTTCCGACCATGTGTTTGCTTTTGTTGCTTTTGCGTGTTTTTCTTTTAGGTGTTTTTGTTTGTTTGAGCTTGTTGGTGGTTTGTTATTGTATTTTTAAAGAAACATACAGATACCTCTTTCAAGTTTGTAAATATTATATCTGTCACTCAGCTCTGTGGTTAACTAAGACTGTTTAACAGAACCCATACACCCCAAAATTATTATTTTAAAGTAATCTGAACAAACCTTACGCTTTCCAGAGTTCTGAATACCGGACACATCCTAGAGGTGTCTTACTGTTAGGCTGAGTTAGTGAAGAAATTCTTTAATTAATGAAAACTGGCACAGGGTCAGTCAGAGACAGACCATCTGTCTCGAGTGACAACCATCAATCCTGCTGTCACTGCTCCCAGCCTGTGCCTTCCTTTATGCAACAGGGACATGGGCAACACAACATCTCCTTTCCAAACTCCAGACAACCTCCAGGCAGGAGGGCAGCAGTCCCAGGGCAGGATAACACCCCTCAAGGACACAGCAACAGCCTGGCATAGCCCTCACTGAATGCAGGTTGAAATATTCTCTTATTTCAGTACTTAATTATCAGTTTTCGGGTATCTTCCCCTTCATCTGAGGAAGAAATCACCAAGTCCTGCCTCTAACTGACAGAAAAAATTTGGTTTCTTTTAAAACTGTGAGTGTGCACTATGGAGCAAAGCAAGCATTTCTAAGTTCTTCCTGAGGCACTTGAATTAGAAGTTAATCCAGCCAGAATAAATCCCATAAGGTAATGCATTTCTGTTTCCATAGCATCTCCTTTGCCACTGATGTCACTCTTTATAATGTTCATATTGAACATATTTTATTATGTGAGAACTATGCAAATGGTCTATAAAGCAGATAAGAAAGGACTGAAAGGAATTAGTGTCATGTGAAGTTCATTATTAATAGAGTTCACATTTGCCAGCATACTTTTACTGTTAGAGAGTAAAAAAATCGTAGGTTTAGTATTCCAATATAAAAATCTCAGTATCTGAGCAGCCCAAATGACACTTTCACCATTTCCATCCTTCTGCTTAGGTCAGATTTTCCAACAACTTGATGTGAGTTAATACCTAAGCATAAAGTGGACAAGAGGTCCTATTTCAATTGCACCTACACAGTATAAATGTTAGTGACTTAAATTAAGTGACTTTAATATTATGCTGCTGTAAATGTAACTGGTTTCCAGCCTGTCAGGTTTCTGCCTGGTGAGTTGTGATTTTCTGTTCTTCCTTTTATCTCCCAGTGTGTTGATGTTAAAGAAAAATACAATCAATAAATGGACATATATATGCAGATTTTTGCTTCCCTGTTTTTTTTTTAAAACTTCATGTGAATCAAAGTTGTCGTGGTTGACAAGGTCTTCCTTCCAGGCTTTGCAAATTTGTTTGCATCTGTCTTTCTAAACGTGACCTTTAAAAAATACTATGAAACAGTTAAAAATGGAGTTTTAGCCTTGAAAACAAGAAAAAAAAAATCAACCTATTTATTCTTATATGTTCCTCTGAAACATCATCTCTGTTTTAATAAGATTAACAGAAATTTTTTAGGTTCTGGAGGACCACTAAGGCACATCCTCCTCTCCTAATAATTGGGAGCAACCCAGGTAACATTGCAGGAATGCTTTTCCAAGCACGTGTGACAGTGTGAGCATAAACCACACAACCACTTGAACCAAAACTCAGTTAATTTTGAATCCAATGTTACAAGAACCATCCAAGCTTGACAAATGCAGAACAAAAAAAAAAATATGTAAATCCTCACCTACAGTTGCAGAGAAGTTAGAGTAGGCAGAGTCATTGGTATATACAAAGGTAGAGTTATGGGAAGGAAGCACAGTGAAGTTGTGGATTCTTAGAGCTGGGTGGAACAACAAAAGAAAACAAGCAAATAAGCAAAACAATGAATCAACACAATCAGTAATGAATTGACCAGTTCATATCTCTCAGCACAAAGCACAGATGTTGAGCAGTGGCCTTTAAAATGATCCCACAATTCTACCTGGGATCTGCACAAAAGAAGCAAATCCAGTGTCACTAAAACAATATTTTCTTCACAGTTACTGAGAAGAAAAAAAATATAAAAAATGCAATGGCAGGTGAAGGGCTCTATAATGTATTCCTGCTGGTGAGGAACTCTGCATGTATAATAAAAATCATTATACTGGTGCAAAAGTTATGGGCAATTCTATCCCATGTCCTGTTGTGGGCTCCCCAGTATAAGACAGGGACATACTGGAGCAAGTCCAGTGGAAGGCTGAGAATGTTGGGAACTGCTCAGCCTGGAGATCTGAGGGCTCAGAGATCTTCTCAATGTGTTCAAACACTCCATGGGAGATGTAAAAATAGTGCCAGACTCTCCTTATTTGTACCCAATGAACAGACAAGAGGTGAGGGGCACAAAATAAAATACAAAAAATTCCATCTAAACATAAGAAAAGCCCCAACTTTTTTATATCTGACAATAAAATTTTATTCTCTATTTTTTTTTCTGATGTTGATAATTTAACAGTATCTGGCACACTGTAATTTTTTACCCTGGGCAGGCAAATAAAGCTTGATGGAAAACCCATGAAGGTAAAGGGAGAGACATTGATTTCAGATTTAGTCCATCTGAGCTCAGAGAACAAAAAGACAAATGCTCTTAAAAGAAAAAGAAAAATATACACAAACCCCTCAAGATAAAAATGCATGGAAACAAGGGGTCAGATGGAAAACCTGAATACAGCCACTTTTTTTTTTTATTTGCTGCATTTTGAGTTGATTGTTTCCCTTCAATTGCTTCCACTGCTGAGATAACCAAAAATTAATTTGCTGACACGCTCTCACAACATCAAATGCATTGAGAGATATAAATCTGGCTTTGTGCACAATGACTTCAACAAATAAAATGGATTAACGTGACGGACAGATTATGATGCTTCAAGGATTCAAGAGGAGAAACATGGAATGAAAATAATTGCATGATATGACGAGTGGAAAAAACAAGAAAGACTCCAGCAATAAACAGAAGAGTTGTGTCATCAGAATGGTATCAAAAACAAGCAAATTGTCACCTGCAGTCGATTACAACAATAAAGAAAACTTTTCTTGCATATCAAAGTCAAATATCAGGCAGATACATAAAAGCTCTGCTGGAGGCAGTTGAGATGATATCTGTGTCTTATCAGACAGAATATGAGCAGCTGAGAATAATTTGAGTTATCCACTACAAAATTAAGGAAAGAACTCAGCATGGCCAGAGTTGCTCTGCAGAGATAAAGACTCGGCTCCTGGCACCCTCTGCAAATAATTGTACGACAAAGTCCTCCAGATCTCTTCAGCAGAGTCATGCAGCTGGCTCATTTATGAAGTTTTTTAACACCATGTCATAATAGGAGTCAAAAGAGATCACTCTTGTGAGCCAGTCCCATTCCTGTAAGTGAAGGTTTGTAGGATCAGGAACTTCATCTGTTCTGCTTTATCTCTGCCAAAATACTACTAAAAAGATTTCTGAATTTTGCTGAAATAATGTCATTTAACAAAACTTGAAAAACAATCTGACATTAATTGTCATTTTTCCAAGAGTTCTGTTTTATATTTATCATTTTCAAGCACTTTCCAAACAACTTTGTTGTAACATGATTGCCAAAACAGTGCTAGATATGCAACACTTTGACTTTTTTGAAACTACGTGAAGTCCAGTGTCAGAAAATGACTTTAACACACTGTTAGAGAACTCATGTGGTAATTTTTTGTAATCCAAATTATTATTCTATTGAAGTCAATAGGAATGGTGCCATCAGCTCCTAATGGAAGCAGAATATTGCCCAGATATATTTCTGGTCAGCCAATTCCATTCCTTTCAGAAATTTTGTGGAAAGATAGGTCAAAGTTTAAGCTTAAAATACTTGAACACCTCTGCAATAAAAGGGTTTAAATATTTATGGATCTTTTTCAGACTTAGGACCAGAGATTGATATTGCCATTTTTGTGTAATAAATAGCAATAACTTTGCACTTCTGGTAACATTTTTCACATAAGGCTGTCTCTAACTCCTGATTTAATCTTCTGCAGTGGTTCTTTCTGGATAAAGATATTAAAGTCACAACAGCCCCTTCCTTGCACTGGCACAAAACAGCTCAGCTCAGCTACCAGGGTGGGCAGCCCTGGAGTGAGGAATCCTGGGGAATGCACAACCAGCACAACTTGGAACCATCAGAGGAGAGAAAACAGTTCATGTGAAAATTCCTGAGGGACCTTGGTGGTTCTGCTGGAGCCCCATTAATGACATCACCTCCACATCCCTGGAAAGCCCCACACCCCCTTTTCGGTCCTGATGTGAAACCTCAGATCCAGAGAATGGCTGAATCCAACCAGACTGCCCTTTAATATCATTCCCTCTGAGATCCTGCAGTCCTCACAACAGACTCTTCAAATCAGTGAGTTTTGCCTTATTGGAAAAAAAACCAAATTAATATGAACTAACGCTGCAATACTGTTTTTAAGGAAATACCCAAAAGCAGATAAAAATGAGTAAGAAGTATCCAGATAAGAGCTTACACTTCTCTTTCTATGGATTCTACATGCAATTTTTAAAAGTGCATGAGGAACTTGGGCATTTAACTCCTTCCAAAATCAAAATCTGCACTGCTGGCATAGCCCAAGATCTCACTCACTGAGTGTACTAGTGCATGCAATACATGTACCAAACCAACTAATAACAATGTGATTTCAATGACTCTTTGGATCATAAACCTTTTCTCTTTATAACCTTAAAAATGCACAGACAGCCCATAAAACCTCTGAGAATACTCTATAAAAATCAGTTCACAAATAAGATATCATTTGGACATCAGAGCACTGCAAAAACACTAGCTGAGAAAAAAAAAAAAAAGCTGAAACTGCTGTGGCACAAAAGCTGAACCCTTTCTTTTCTCCTGCTCCTCTTTTACTTACAGACTGCCACAAATACTTATGTTATTGCCATTGTCAGTGAATCCTTTGTCTACCTCCATTCGCATCCCGAAACTCACGAATTCCATCCACATCTTCCAATGGCCAGTAATGGGAAGCTGATGCAAGAACTTTGAACCCTTGCAAGAAACACAGTTGAGAAGATTGTTAAAGACAAGACCAACGAGGAGTGCAACCAAAAATAACAATAAAGGAGGTCAATTGGTTAAGTAAATGAAAATATTTTCTGTACACCCAGTGTGGTAAATAAGTGAGGTCATAAATCAACACAGTGGAGTAGAAAAAAGCCATCTGATTAACCACTGAAGAAAACTGCTTTAAAACTCAACTGATTTTTGTTTTAGTTTATTTAAAATGTGCAACAATCTCTGACTAAATCTCTGCTTGTATCCAGCAGCATTCATTGAAGGAACAGCTGAGGAGTCAGCCAAGAGTAATTTCTAGATTTTACTGAGATTTCAAGCACATGGTGGGTAGTACAAAGCACTGTCTCTATAGCAAACTACTCCTGCTCCTGCCTCCTCCAGAGGTAACTCAGCTCTCTGCAGCTCCAGGGAGTAGGAGAAGATGCTATGGAGTTCCCAGGCATCTTACTCTCTCATCAAAATCCACTGGAAAATCAGTGCAACACTTTGAGTTTATATTAATCCAAGCACTTTTTCTCCTTTGGTTGTCCGTGGGGAGACACCAGGAAGGAGCAGGACCACAGATAAGAGCAGAGGTGTCTGCACAACCATTACAGCAGAGTGCAGCCTTCCTGATGCCTCCAGACAGCTCTCACCTCAGCAGCAGTACAGCAGAACTTCCTTTAACAGAAGGAATTTGATTTTCCTCGAGAGAAGAGCTTCCAGAATATTAAGCACCATATGGAAGAGCACTCACTCCTCCCCACATGGCCTCATCAGCTATTCCTTCAGAACCTTCCCCACTGCACCAAAACCAGAACAGCTCTTTGTGGCTGATGAGAACATTTTGTTTTCCTAAATGTCCTCTTTAGCAACAGGTGGACAAGATGACAAAGGTGAAATATCTGCTGGTTCCCACTGGCACTTTTATCTGCACAGTCTGGCTGACCAGAGGTTGAACAGATTTTAGATGTGATGATTTAAAATTAGTCAGAAGCAGGCTGCCCAAAACAACCAAATTTTTTGTTAAGATAACAGTTCTATTTTGAGAGCAGAGCCCTAACAATGTAGGAAAACATGAGCTGTAATTTCTTGTTACCTTGTTAGCTGCAAGAAACCCTTTATTCTCAAAACAATCAATTCAACCAGCTGTGCTGAAATAAATTCATAATCTCCCATATCTGAGAAAGTTTTAGAAGGTTGATACAGATACACAGAAATGTTACTGTGAATGCAAATGAGAATGATGTGTTTTGTTCACCATGATGCCACATCACCCAACTGCTTTGAGTTAATCTTTTCTTTGGGGGTGCAGGGGAGGAACACAATGAATGAGAGGGGCAAAGAGAGCAAATATTTATATTACACTATATCTGTAATTCTCTGACCTACAATCATTTTTCAGTCCCAAGTAATCTTTCAAGAACCTGAGGTGTGAAGCTGATAGAGGTAAGTTTGTTAAAACCCACTTCAGCTGTCATACACCACAGAAAAAGCTTCCCACACCTGATGTGCAAATTAAAACAAGTCACAGGCAATGTCCTTTGACATTTGCAGACTATCCTACACCTTTCTTTACTCTTGAGATCAAAACAGCTTGCCTATTTTATAATTATTCTATCATTTTAATGTCCTGGACACAAACAGGATTTCTTTATCACAGATATAAGGGTGCAAAAATTTTATTTGCATCCTTAAACTGCCAAATGCACCCAAAGAAGAGCAGTTTGATGGCCTCCACCCTCATGGTTTAGTGTCTGAAGTGTGACACTAAAGTGTGAAGGTGGGATCCTAGGATTTATATTTTTATTATGCATCCAAAGTGGATAGAATTGCTAAAACATCACAGCAAGGAATTGCAGATCTGAGGAAACAGAACTAAAAGAAATTCTGCGTCTTGTGAGGATACACAAACTACTCAGACTTGCTTCCAAACTCAACTCTACCAAAGATATCTAACAAAAGACTCATAATTGACCAGGATCTATTATTAGCCCACCTAACTAAATGTTTGCAGTTGTACAGAGGTTTTCCCACAGAGAGGGAGCAGGAGCATCAGTAGATAAGATGGGGATACCTTTAGGGGAATATGGTTACATATTTCCTTTGACTATTAGGAAGAAAAAAGCAAAACTGCTAGTGAAAGGACAAAGGTGCTGCCAGCATAAGAGAACAGTGACACAGAATAAGCACATACAAAATCCAATCTGAAATTCCAAGCAACCCAAACTCAACTAAGCTGATCATGGCAAAGCAGGCTGAGAACACGGGATATAGGAACAAGACCTTTTGCATTTCTATCTTCAAAGAACATATTCTGGCTGCTGCAAAAGAAATGAAAAGTATAAATTTCTGTGGCAGTAAGAGCATCCACATAGGCTAACCTGAGCTAACATACCTCCACCTGACTTTCATCAAACTCCCAGCTCCATTTGCAGAGCACAGACCACACCTGCTGGTTCACAGTGTGCTTATATGCAAACATCTCTTGCTCCCATTAACATCTCCCTTTTGTATTAGGGCACAAAAAAGGATTTAAGAGAGGTGGTAGAAAAAAATAATTAGAAAAAGAGAGAAAAAGAGAAAAGGAAGCTCCTGGGAGAAAATTATCTGATGCCAAAAAATGTGTCACAACATGGCACAAGCATTTTAGTAGCAGTAGCATCACAACAAAAGCATTGCCATGGCTGGCATCAAACTCAAAAGAAGCAGCAACATTTAAAAGCTGTGAAAAGAGACCAAAAAAAAAAAAGGGGGAAGGGAAACAGATATACAGCAAAGAAAATTGCCCAGAGCCACGCTGCATGTTGGTGGCTTTCCCAGCTCCCAGTTCTGAACTCCACAAAGCTGTGCTGTTATCCCACTTTCAACCAAAAGACCTCTGGAAACAAATACCTGTTGCTTTGAATGCAATGTCCTTTCCACAGATAACTACACCGATTAGAACAAAACCACAGGACTTTTTTGCAGCCTGGTTCAAATCCAGAAAGCATCTCTTGCAGCTGTGCTTCACACACACACACTCTACTCCAAAATCAGGGCTGGGTAACTTGCCCCCCTCATTGCAGGAGGCTTTTTCCCCCCTGTTGTTCCACCAGCCAGAAGCCAGTGATCCTCATCCACAGGGAATGGGATTGTATTTCTTGTTTTTGAGCAAAGGTGGGACAAAAGAAACTAATCAGGCTGAAGCTGCTGCACTGGCAGCCAACACGGCACTTCCACGGATCTCCGTGTTTGACTTGAAAATAATTACATGTGGTTAAAACTAAAAAGCACAAAGCAACACATGAACTGGTAAAGCAGTAAAATTGTGCTTGTACACCACCATGAGGCTTGAGGTTAAACTATTTATATAAACAGAAGAATTCTGCAGTTACACACACAGACCCCAAATAAGCTTTGAATAAGTTTTTTCTACATTGAAAACAGATGAGAGATCCTTAATATGCCCTGTGACTGATTTAAACTGAAGAGTGGAGGCTGGGAGGAGGGTAGATGACTTGAAGCCATGCCAAAGTACTGCAAAGTATACAAGCTGACATATCTAACACTAAATCATTGAATTGAAAATGCTGAACATTGAGGGGAAAAAAGGAAAATAGTCTGTGTGGAGGTCTGATTCAGAGAAACACACTCAAAAAATTAATAAGTGTATACAAGATTTTTCCACATAGCAAATACAAGCTATTTTTCTGCAAATATATTTCCATGCAGAATATTCAATAGGTAGGTTGCTGAATTTAAGATGACTGGGACAGTCTGATACTTTAGACTATTACATTTTTAATACTGAGCTGACATTCAAACACACGATCACAGTTTTTTTTGGAGGTACTAAGAGAATAAGAAATACAAAGCAAAAAAGCAAATGAATATTTAAGCACATTGTCATAAAATGTAAATAGAGCATTCCTTACCTGGGTGTTTGGGGAGCTGGGAATAGTTTCCATACACCTGCACATAAAATATTACATAATGAGACATAATGAGGCAAAACTTGCTAAGAGGAATCCAAGTATATCTCAATACTGACCACATTCAGAACATTACCTGGTATTTTTGCTGCAATAAAATCAGCAGAGAATAATGACAACAGAGCAGGGATAATAAACTTTCCATGGTCTATTTCAGGTTAAAAGTACAACTGAAATCAAACTCCTGTAAGATTTCAATCATAAGTTTTCCTTTGCTGCTTTTGGTATTAAAAAGGTCATTTTCCATGCAGGTTCAAAAAGTCTGTTCCTTCAGCGACGGCGAAATATCCTTCCAGACCCTTTAAGTAGTATTTTCCTGCTTCACACTTCGATATCTTCATTTAACTGCAAATAAATTCCCACGATTGGAGGAAAATTAAAAAGAAACGTGCATCAAATCCGAAAGTTGTGCCGTTCCGTGGAAAGGAGTCAAATATTTCTGTCACAATCTCAGCCAAAAAAGAAAAGATCTTGTTTTCAACTTTCTTCCTACGGTTGCCTTTTCCTTGCAATTGCTTTCACGTTGTCAGAGACCCGAAGCCGGTCGTAGTTTTGCTCGCAAGAAAATGCACTTCCTTATAGCACATCGGGCGGAAAACTCTCCCTCTTCCCTCAGAAACTGAGCTGAAAAGAGCTGCAAACTCCTCTCTTGTCCAGCTCACGTTTGCACCTCCATCCCAGATCTTTTTGGGTGGAGAGCAAGGCTGAGTGATGTCATGCTTTCTCCTCAAACTTTGTCCCATTCTGGTTCTCTATTTATATATCACGTTGCTGCTGTCTCTTCTCTGGGTCCTAACACCAGCCAGCCAGGAACAAGTGGAAACGAGTCCATGTGCTTCAGCAAACAGATAAAAAGAGAGATTACTGCTCGTAGCAATCTGCACACTCGCAGAGGAATCGAAGCCAGAACAAGCGTTCACAATTCGAATGCTCAGGAAAAGCAGAGCAGGAATTTCTGAAGGAAAGCTGAGATCTGTTTACTGAAATAACAGATTGTAGTTCAGCCTGAAGAAGCATAACCTCTAAAAAAACCACTGGTTTAAATCACATGGCACTCTGAGGCATTGATTGTACCATGCCTGTGTCTAGCAGGGGAAACTGAGGCATTCACCATTTCACTGATTTGCTCAAACTTGCACAACAAAACCAGTAAAAACAAACCCCTGGGAAAAGACTTCTTAAAGTAGTTGCTATTTTACTTTTTTACATAAAAATAATTACATATAAGTATTTCTATGAATCTCTCAATTACACTCTGAACTATATCACAAATAGTAATCAGCATTTGACCTGTAAAAGAAAAATAGCAGCTAGATCTAGTTGATATTTTTCATTTATTTTGTTCTGCTATGATAAAATCTTGCTTTCAGCTCTCTGCAAGATCTTTATTTTCAGTGAAATAAACCAGAGTAATATTTTATTCACCTTATTCACCTGGTTCCTTTTGTCAACTCTATTTCTTCCAGTGTATTATCCCTCTTACTCCTCTGCTGCTTGATGGCAACTTCTGCACCAGCCTCCTGACTGGAGTTCATTATAACTTTTAGGATGAAACAGTTTTCCATTGACACTTTATATAGGTATTATATAGCTGGAATCCAGCAAACTTGGCAGTAGCTGTGGCCCTGATTTACCCAGCTGGCTTCCCAGATGTGTTCTGAACTTCCAAAGCCTCTGGTGGTAACAAGCTCCTGGCAAATGACTGGCAAGTGGAGAGGAACTCAAGAGTCCAAGGACTGAAGAGATCAAAAATTAACTTTGGAAACCTCAAGACATTCACACTGCCTGGATGCTCCAATGTTACCAAAGTTTAATAATACAAAATCTCAGTATTGAAATAAAAAACGAATTTTGTTTGTAATCCTGACTGAGGACCTACAACAGAATAATTTTGAAAATTTTGAATTTCAGTTTCTTCAAAAATTTAGCTTCCCACTTAATGATGACCAGTCTGACTTTTGCTTATTTCCCTCCAGGTTTTTTCCAGACTTCTTCCCTCGTTACTGTTAGCCACAATCTCCTCGATATCCCGAAGGAGGAAGAGGAATTCTGCATAAACCCCAGGAATTCTGCATCATGTAGTGACAATGCAGTGACATGCAGAGCCACCCTTAGAAATAATAGAGAGCTGCAGCTAAAAATCCTGAGAAAAGCTAAAATGTAAAAAGAGAAAGGCAGGAATTCGAAATATTTGCCAAGAGGGGCCTGTCAAGGGAAAGAATATGCTTACCAAAACAATTGTGAGAATCCAAGCAAACACGTTCCCTGCCAAACATTTTCTGTGGAACCAGCAAATTGCAAGCAGACATTGGGAGATCATTTGCAGGAACAAATTCTGAATTTATTCCTCTGACCCTCTGGAAACCTGATCTGAGCAGTCCCAGAGCTCCCAGCGCAGCCCAGGGGCAGCACCGGGCACCTCGTGTGTGGGACAGAGTCGCTGACCCAGCTCTGGGAGGACAATCAGTGCCAGGGCATTGCTCCTGAGGAGCCTGAGGATGGACCAGCGCTCATTTAAAGCACTTCCACGTCAATAAAAGCACAGAGGTCCGTGGCTGGGCAGCCCATGCCAAGCCCTCTGGGTGGTTTCCCCCAGCACAGCTCTCCCACCCTGCTGCCCTGGGAGTAAGGAGGGAGAAAGCTCTGCCCCCCTCCCATGTTGCAGCCCCTGAAAGGACCCTGGATTTTCTGTCTTGCTTAGGCAGAGAGCAGCAAAAAAGGGCCAGGGAAGGGCTGCTTTGCGGTGGGGCAAAAGTTTAACAAAACCCAAAGATCAATGGCTTTATGTCAAAGGCTGTAGCTGACATTTACCAGGAGACGAAAAATAAGCTGAAGTTAAAAATCTTTATTGCTAACTACCTAAATAGAAGCAGAGAAATCATCATCTAAAGAATGCTTTACACTGCAGAAGGCAAACAATCTGTAATACAGTTCTCTTCCTTTGTTTTCCTTGGAATCACTAACTCACTGCAAGAGAGCTGGTGCATAATTGGGATTGAAATGTTTTAGCAAACATCATAGAAAGGAGTATTGTAAGAATCAATCTAACAGATTTTGTAAAACTTCTCTAATATCACAGTCCCTACCAACACACCAACAAATATTCTGGATTAAAACGACCCTCTGGTCAAACTGTTTCTCTGTCACTAATAGACATTATTAATAAGGTGATTACAGCTGATATATCAACATCCATCCACTTAAATTTTAGTGCTAGCTTTTCTGGCTTCTAATGGACATCCCAGGTAAGTAGTTGTAGAACTGATTTTATTTAAATCACTTGCAAAAAACACCCCACAGCTGTGTAAGCTAATCCATCTGGCCCTTGCATCAGGGAACTACTCAGATGTGTATAGGTGCAATTGGGTTTGATTTGCACTTTAAAAAAATCATTTGCCAACTGCATCACCTTCAAAGAGACTGAAGAATATGTTTCCTCCCCTGCCTTGTTCCTTAATGTACTACAATCAAAGCATGATAATGGGCTATACTAATTGGCCAAGTGACTATGGAATACAGCACAGGAGCCCCCTGGTTCTAGACAAAAGCAGGAAAACACAAATCTCACTCAAAAGACAGAAGGTTTTTGCTTAAATCACCAGCTGTGGCTTAAAAAAAAAAAAAGTGCAAAAATTGCTTATTTAAAAGACTATCATCCTCATATTAACCTCTATTGATGTACTGGGTGGGGATGAGGCAGAAAAGGCTCAGTCCTGCTGTTTCTCAAGGTCTGCAGCACACAAATCCTCTCTTTTCCTCGAGGGATGGTGTGCACGTCCAGCTGTGGTAACACACCACAGCACTTTCTCCTGGGCTGGAAGAATTACAGAAGGCATTTAACAACTACACCCCTTTCCATTGTCACCCCTCACTCAAACACATCAGGGCTCCACTCAACTTCCAGGGAAAACCCAGCCTACGATACGTTTTCCTTAAACTGAAAACTTGTGCTTTTGTAACTCGAGAGGTTGTGATTCTGAGCAAACCCAAAATATACAACAGAGAGGGTTTGTTGTTTTTTTTGTTCTGATTTTAAAAACTGTTTGTTAGTGTTTATTCTCATGGATGTCATCATCTAGTGTTGTTGCACTAAACTCTCCACACACAGCTCTTGCTACAGGCCCTGTAACATTCTTTTAACTGGTAAACACTCACTGAACTGTGGATGCCTATGAGTGAATGACAGCTTGAAGTACATTGTACCCATTTCCTTAGAACATTAAAAGGAAAAGCATTTAGATATTTTTTTCTTTTAGCACTTTCCTGACCAAACAGACAGAAAGTTTAACAAAGTTATTTTAGGTTTGTAAGTTTTCTCTAGGTATCAAAAGGTTGGCCAGCAGCGTCAGTGCTTCTCTTTCCATTGAAACTTTGAAATTAAGGAAGCATGGGTGAAAGTGCATTCTTATTAGAAAAAGGGAAGAGGGTTGAATAGTTGGCATTAAGGATATGTTTTCATGACAAGAGAAGTGCTGTAAGGCTGTAGCCATTATAGCAGCAGAAACAAAAATACTGTGGGTGGCACAGGCCAGCAAACATGACTTATATCCAACGATCTAACCAGGTTTAGGTGCTACAGCTTCTCTTCTATTGCTGTTTGTGGAATATTTGATACATCACCCAGCTACAAAACTCAGTGCTTATTTCTGCACTTAGAACTAATACAAAATTAAATTTTCTTTCATGTCTATCCGTAAGTCCTTTACTAGAAAGGCTTTTTTTTGTTGTTCTGTGGGTTTATTTGAAGCAGAGATGAAACCCATAGGGCTGAAGTTCCCCGGGATGAGCCATAATTTCTAAGGCTCGTACAAACACAGGTTAAGAAACAAGTGAAGCAGGACATTCTTAAGAAAAATAAATGAAACTTTGGTGTGCCTGGGGAGTTCACCAGCAGAACGAGAGTCAGGAGTGATAAGCCAGGAAATACAGAGGGATTTGGACACGTGAAAACAAACAAATCTGTTCTACACACTCCTTGCAGAGGAGTAGGAGGGAGGGGCTGTGAAATCTCCAGTGTTGGATGCCCTGAAGAACAGGCTGGACAAACACTTGTCAGAGATACTATGGAAACAGTTGGTCTTACCTTGCAGCATGAAGGTGAGCTAAATCAATTCTTTTGATCTGTTCCAGCTGTATTTTGCCATCATTCTGTGACTTCTG